CACATCATCCCTGTGAACCCATGGCCTCCTGTTCATTATATCACCTTTCCCTCACAGTTTATTTTTTATTGCTATTAGCTTCTGAATGCCGTCATTCTGATTTATATGGTATTCATGTTCAGCAGACTCTATCATTCTACCTATGTTTTGCTCTATCACGACTGACCATTTATTCCAAAAACTCATTACCAGAGAAGGAAACAAATCTTTTTCTCCTATTCGTTTACCTGGCATTTCTCATCTTTACAGTAGATCAGACACGGATCGTTTGTTATGTCCCGTCAGGGTGCTCAGATGTTGTGTGGCTCGTACGGAACCATTTCTAGACCCCAGGAACAGACGTTTTATTCATTGGGATCCTGCAGTATCCAGGGATTTATCACCTGTTACTTTAACCAGATTGCTTTGGAAGTTGATCCATATTGCCTGTTTGGGCTTATCTGTTTAATGATTGATATATGCTCCACGTCACCTCTCACCAGATTGACACCTATCGATATTTTTGGCTGCCTGGTTGAACTGTTCTCTAGAAGATATTTAGCAGGCCGTTATGTGGACTTCTGACATGTTCATATCTCATTACCTTCACAATCTGGCAGTTTCCTTTTTCATGGGATTTTGTCTTCCCCTATGGCTGTGTTGACTATTGCTACTAGATTTTAACAGTGGTGAGTAACATGTTATCTGACTTGCAGTTATTGTTCTTTTCTCTTCTTGCGCCTCTATTGAATTCTTTTGGATCCCAGTTTTATGTGATGGTATTTAAATTTTGCACTAACAACTATCAGTTCCTGGTTGCAATGGGCTCTGTTGAGATGAGGTGTTCCATAAAACCATCTGGACACAATTCTGGATGGTGATATCTTATTACAATAGTTCGAATGGACTGCTACTCATGAACTATCACGAGTAAAGCTAAAGGGGATTTTGCAAGTCCTTGCTGAATTTAGAGCTGAATCAGTCCCATCTTTGGTCCCTGGTGGGACAGTGTTCCACATCCTCTCCTTAATTCTATGGGAAAGCGGAATTCTCCTTGCCCACTTGGTGGGGGGGAGAAAAGACAACTGTTTGTAAATCCAGACTGAATGAGCTCTGGACTTGGGTGGAGTATGGTATATGATCCTGTCAATCCAGACCTGGGATGTTACTTTTTGCACTTCTTCAGGTTGATCAGAAGGATTGTTCACTTTGGTGTTGCTTTCTTTCATAAATCCGGTGGGTTGAAATGCATCATTCTATGGTCCAACTGCCCTGGCCACCAACGTGGGATATGGGTACCATGACCCCTTAAATCCAACCTGAGTTCTGGAATCTCGGCTGTTTGATCGAGGCTGGACCATCATACTTGTATTATATTCCACCCTTTTCAATTTTCTGTAGTTCTGGGTGAAGAGCATACCAGATCTGGGTGTAGTGTGGTGTTCCCCACTTTGATAACACTTCTCATGGTACATATTTGTTCTCTGCAGACACTTTCAGTATGATCTCTGTCCTCACCTGCCTTGCTGCCTTCTCAGTGTGAGATTCTAGCTATTAGTGTCAGCAGAGGTATTTATGTTTTGGAAGTTATTTTCCTAAACTGAAAATGTATTTCCAAACATACTTACCTCTGCTGACTCTCTCCCTTGCCACTAAGAGCCAGTGTTATTGACTGGAATGAGGTAAGTCATGAAAAAGGGATTTTATTGTCTGCAAACAATACTTATATACAATACCTGTATAGAGGGCGTGTGAGGATCGGTGTAAAGTTTTGCAAATTCAATATTGCCGAGGGCTATCAAGTGGGGAATATAAAGACTAGAGCAAGCGAACACAATGTTAGATGGCAAAGATGAAGATCGAGAAATAATTATTAGTGTCAGTGGAGGTAAGTATATTTGGAAATACATTTTCAGTTTAGGAAAATGATAACTTTTCTATGTGCTAGTTGAAGAATATTTGAAAATGTGTTTACTTTATTCTGTTGAGCAGTTATAACCAAATTTTTTTTGTATTATGTCTGTGAGATAAACGTTTAAACTCTAGTATTTGGTTGGTTTATTAGTCAACTTCTTTCCTCCTAGATCTGACAGGATCATTTGATTGGAAGACTTACTTAAACAAGCCAGACTTCTCTGCAGCTCCTGTTTCAAGCTTCAAGCATGTGAGTTTGTTATTGTGTGAAAAATGTCTAGTATGTTTTTTCTGTACGATTTTAATATTAAGTGATTAGAAGCTGGCTAGTCATAGAAATGATGTATTTTTATTAATAAACATTAATTATTAAGCCATACACAATAAAGATGGCTAAAATATATTTTAACAAAAAGTAAAAAAGAAAAAAATACTTTTTTCACTCTTTGCTCATTACTGAAACTTGGCACATTAATGTTTGGTATTTTCTAGTTTAACACTGGTGGTGGTGGAAGAAGGGTAATAAGGGCAAGGACTCATCCTTGTCTCATTACTATGCTTCTTAAATACCCCTTTTTAGCTCTTATTATAGATGAAATATATTAATTAAAGAACCTTGATAGAATAAGTATTCAGTTCAATTAACTCTCTCAACACAGGCTTAGTCAATTTGACCAACTACGTCACTTCTTTTTACTCGATTAAAGTCTTTATAGATTTAAAACCTCTAACTTTCAATATAGTGTGTATATCTTCGCAAAGTTTGGCAGTCTTTTAGTTCATATTATGTCTTTCACATACAAAAAATCATATTTTTTTGTGAATTGTTTTAATAAAATAAAGATCCGTCCATTAATATATTGGGTATTTGTTGTGAATAGTCCATGTGCAAAGAAATTTTCATTTTAAAATTAAAAATACTTTTTCTCATCTCAGAAATCTCAAATTTTCCTTTGTGTAATCCCCAAAACCTCCTAAATGCATTTCAAACGTTTTTTTTTTAGTAAGACTTTATAGTTTGTGTTATTTTCTCTACCCTAATCTCAAAAATGGGATTGGTCAATTCGACCAACCTTGTAACCACTAAAAAAAAAAATTGAAATAAACCTAAATTATC